AAAACTATCTTTGTTCACAGATAATATCTATGTTGAAAATCAAAAAGAATCAACAAAGAAGCTACCAGAACAAATACACAGCTCTAACAAGGTTGCAGAACACATAATATACCAAAGTCAACCGCTATACTATATACCAGTAATGGACGAGGGAGTCTGAAATAATAAATGTAATACCATCTTCATTAGTGAAAGAAATTTAGGTACAAGTTAACAAAATATAATATATACAAGATAAATATGAGGGAGTTCGTAAAAGTAATCAAGTAACTAAGTAAATGGAGAGAGATTTCATGTTCATTAGTTGGAAGGTTCAGTATTATCGAGATGTCATTCTCTTGTGAGCTACAGTTTCAATGAAATCTCAATCAAAATATCAGCAGGTTATTTTGTGGATATGAACTGAAATTTATAAGGACAGGCAAGGACCCAGACTAGGGAACAAAGTATCAAAGAAGAACACTGAACTTGGTAGCTACATGACTATAAATTTTCTTTCTTACTCAGTAATGCATTGCTTGACAGATACATTCTGAGAAATGCATCAGGCAATTTTATCATTGTGCAAATATCACAGAGTGTACTTACACAAATCTAGATGATATAGCTAATACACACCTAGGTTCTATGGTATAATCTCATGGAATCACCAGTGTGTATACAATCCATCATTGGCCAAAACATTGTTATGCAGTGAATAACTGTACTTAAATCTTTAAAAATAATCGACTATTGAAAATGAAACACACACACTATTACAGGGTTTATGCCACATGTAAAAGGAAAAGGTATGATAAAAACAGAGTCCAAGAGGGAAGAACTTAAAGTAAATGTCATAAAGGTTTTGTTGTTGTTTTTCCTTTTTAAAGATTTTGCCGTAGGGCACCTCTACCCACCAGAGAGAGACAGTGAGGGAAAGTGAGTTAGCATAATGGCTATGTCACTGGACTCCCATGTAGTCGACCGCGGTTTGTGTCCCGGACCCAGTGGTTTAAAACTCATGCTGGGTGTGTGTGCATGTGTGCCCAAGATCCTGAGAGGAGAATGAAGGAAAAGGGATTGTGGCGTGGCCATCCCCTGGGGGGGGGATTTCTCGCATTCTGTCTCTCTGTCTCTGTCTGGCAAGCACATGCACCCTATAGCAAAAACCTCTCCAAAAAAAAAAAGTGAAAAATCTCCTCTGTGTGGGGGTGGCCATGCCACAGTCCCTTCTCCACATTCTGTGATTTTTGGAATGCATGCACAGGTGCCCAGTAATTTTCAGCTGCTGTGATTTTCAACCCACCATGTCTGGGACTTAAACCATGGTCAACAGGGACCTGGATAAAGGGTGCAAAATTGCCACATGGCTGACCACAGTTTGAGTCCCAGACATGGTGTCTTGCCCTCTCACTTTCCCTCTCTTCTCTCTTTCTCTCTGTTCCTCTCTGATAAAATTAAAAATGAGTAAATAAATAATAAAGTTGGGGACCAGCAGATGGCGTAATGGCTACGTCGCTGGACTCCCATTTAGCTTACCACTGTTTAAGTCCTGGACCTGGTGGCTTAAACTAATGCTGAGCACATGTGTGTGCATGCCCAAGATTCCACAAGAATGGAGAAGGGACTGTGGCGTGGCCATCCCCACTTGGGGGCAATTTCTCGGCTTTCTGTCTCTCTCTCTTTCTGGTGAGCACACACGCCCTATAGCAAAAAAACCTCTCCAAATAAAGTTAAGTAAAATATTTTTTTTAAAAAGGGTCAACCATGTGGGAGTCCAGCACCTTAACCACCATGCCACCTATTAGCCCCAGGTTTTGGTTTTTTTTTTTTGTTTTTTTCATTATTTTTAGTTTTTTGCTTTTGGATGCATGCTCTTATTGGAGAGAGACAGAGAAAGAGAAATCACCCCTGGGGTGGGGGTGGGTGGGGCATTGGCCATACTGCAACCCCTTCTCCATTACCTTCTCAGGATTTGGGGCCCTTATGTGCATGCGTGTGCATACACACACACACACATACACCCTGTGTATTTTTCAAGCCACAGACTTTAACTATAGATATGTCTACACCACCTGCTGGCCCTCCATAAGGTTTTATACTGTATGTGAAGAGGTATATAACGTGGAGGCAGGCTGTATAAGTGTAAAATGTGTAACATTATCTATCATTAAAGTAACATAAGAGTAGCTATTAATCCTACAATAGAAATGAAGAATCATTTTTTTTTAAATCAGTACAAAACACAGAGAGGAACAACAAAGAAATAAATAGAAACAAAAGATAGGACAATATATTTAAACCCAGCTATATTGGAAAATCACATTAAAAGTGTATGGTCTAAAAACCCCAATTAAAGGCAAAGACCCAAGTACATGCTGCTTATAAGAAATCTACTTGAAATTTAAGATAAAAATAGGTTAAGGTTAAAAGTAAAAGTATAAAAAGTATTGTGGGGCCCGCAGATGGCATAGTGGTTACGTTGCTGGACTTCCCATGTAGTCAGCTACAGTTCAAATCACAGACCCCGTGGCTTTAAAAATTCACATGAGGGTGCATGTGTGTTTGTATGCCCAAAATCCCAAGAAGAGAATGGAGAAGGGATTGCAGCATGGCCATTCCCCCTGGAAGGTGATTTCTCACTTTCTGTCTCTTGTCTCTTCAGCAAAAGCATGCAGCCTATAGCAAAAGCCTCTTTTAAAAAAGGCCAGCAGATGGGAACCAGCAGTTAGCGTAATGGCTATGTTGCTGGACTCCCACGTAGTCAACCGCGGTTCGTGTCCCAGACCTGGTGGCTTAAAACTCATGCCGGGCGCGTGTGCGTGCATGCGTGCCCAAGATCCCTGGAGGAGAAGGGATTGCGGTGTGGCCATCCCCCCTGGGGGGTGAGTTCTTGCTTTCTGTCTCTATGTCTCTCTCTGTCTGTCTG